ATATATATATATATCTTCTTTTTGTTTAAAAAGCAGATAATAGTACTTGAATAATCTGATCAAGATGGACGAACGTTTGTATTATTCAATAATCGTTTTGAAACATACATTTTTTATTTATTTATTTATTTATTTAGTTTTGTTTTTTTAATAAACATAAACATTCAACGTATGTATGTATGCATGTATGGTTTTTATTTTTTTAAACGATTAGAAACGTACCCGTTTGATACTCGTGCGATTGAAAAAATGTTTTGTTTTTTTTTTTTGTTCTTTTTTATATTCTTTTCTTTTTCAATAATTTTCTTCTTCTTCTTCTTCTTCTTCTTTTTCTACTTTTGTTTTATCTTCAAGGGATCGTTCTATATTTATTTATATATTTATACGTGGATAAAAATTGTAAATTGTTTTTTTTTCTTTTCTTTTTTTTCCTTTTTTTTTTTTTGTTTAATCTCGGATGGAACGTGCAAGTTAACTTGAATTCGCGTCACTTTGGTTACCTTATCAGTAATATTGCTTTCGTTGTATATTCACTGGGTGGAAGATTATATCTCATAGCTAGCAGAGCCTCATCAATACACTTAAAACAAACTTACTATGGATAGTCATAAGTTCGACATGTAAATTCAATATTTTATGTACACTTTTTTTATATATATATATACTTTTACACTTGTATTATTATTATTATAATAATTATTATTATTAGTTATTATTATTATTCTGTTTTCTTGTCTTTCAGTCACTTTTTAATTTCTATTTACATAACTCTATCACACCATAATAATATTATTGAAAAATGATTCCTTTAGTCAGGAACATTTGTCAATTGTACATGAATATTTATCAATCATTTATCCCTCTCGTTGAAAAAAAATCACCCCCAAAAAAAACAAAACAAAAAAGCAACGATTCAATAATATCTCGATCTCGTAGTTCGTAGAAACGTATAACGTGACATTTTGACGGTTTTAGATTTGTCTTCTGTCAAAAGTTTTTGCGAGATATTAGCAGCAGCAGCAGTAGCGTAATGCAGAAGTTGTCAAACGTAGCACATATTTCATCGAAACAAAGAAAGACGAGACGTTGTGCTTTCTATTCTATATTTATTGGTCGAGGATATCACCAAAAAATCACTGACAGCAAATAATGCTAAATAATAATCTCGAGATAAATTGGAATTGGTGTGTATTTATTACAAAATAATAATAGTAATAGTGATAATAGTGGTAACAATGTTTATGTTTTGGGATTTGTTCACGTAATTTTTGTATCAACGATGAAAAAAGTGACGTAAGTCAGTCAAAGAAAAAGAAAAAAAAAAAAGAAGAAAATAAAGTTGAGTAGAACGTTGGGAAAAAATTTTTGTTGGTCCAAGTTATCCAATAATTTTAACAGGAATTTGTTCTCTCGGTGTTTAAACGTTCCCTTTCCTTTTCGTTTCTTCCTTTACTTCTTTCAATATTTTTCTTTTTTTGTATTTTTCGAAAAACGTCGCCAAGCGTCGAAGAGGGTGGGTGTGCCTTTTGCAGGGACGAGCAACAAGTTGGACAACAGGTCCGCCGTGTTTGTCTATCGGTGTGTGTACGGTACCGCCTTACGTGTGTGGTCGATATAGTTCCCTTCTATCAAAGAATCTTCTTCTTCTTCTACTTCTTCTACTTCTTCTTCTACTTATCTTCGTCCTTGTTTTTAAATTTTCTTCTTCACAAATTATTACGAGTATTATCCTCCTTAGCATTCATTAACCATAAGAAAATGAATTCTCGGATTGGTATCTTTCATTAAATTCTTTTCGTTTTATTTCTTCTTTGTTTATGACGTAATAGAACAATAGGAACTGTACTTCTCCTGACAAAACTTTGATGATATCTTCATTGATTCTTTCCAAAATTAACGTGTCATTGTTGATGATTAATTACAGGAACGACGAATGATCGTTTGACACGTTTAAAAATCATCACTGATTATTGATAAAACTTGACGAATTCATATGAATAAATAAAAAGATATTTATATAGAAGAGTAGAATTGTTAAAACAGAAGTTAAAGATTCTTCGTCGTTCTTTCCAGCACTGCTGCTGCTACTGCTACTGCTGCTGCTGCTGCTGCTGCTGCTGCTGCTACTGCTGCTGCTGCTGCTGTTGGCTGACACTGCCTTCGGTCCTCGGGTAAGAAAATCAATGGATATTCCGGGTTTCAGGAGTTGCCACATAACGCCGAGAGACCGCTCGACGAGCACCACGAACTAGTTATATGCATTCGTGAGAAAACCGTGATGGGAGGAAAAAAACGGAGGAAGATAAATAGATAGCTAGCTAGCTAGCTAGATAGTTAGAGAAAAAGATAAAACGAAAGAGAGGGAGAGAGAGAGAGAGAGAGAGAGAAAGAGAGAGAAAGAAAGAAAAAAAAGGGGTTATGCGCGCGAACACCAGTAGTAAAAGTGTATCACTAACGAGCCCGAATAAAACAAAAACGAGCCACTGGTAAAACAAAAATAATACAAACAAATGTTTTAGAAGGAGAGAGAGAGAGAGTGAGTGAGAGGAAGATGAAGAAAGAAGGAAAAAACGAAAGGAAAAGAAAGAGAAAGAGAAAGAGAATGATAGGGAATCGTTTAAAGAGAATAGGATGTATAATGATTTTGATAGAAATAAGAGGATAGAGAGGAATAAAAGAGGAATATAGAATAGAAGGACTTTAAAAGGAGGGGAATGTGTGGGCCAACACAACTATGAGGAGGAGGATAATGAAGGCCGAAGACGAAGATGTACCACCTGTGGGCGCAGAAGCAACAATTGTCCGCCGTGTATCGCGGTGGAGGGTAACCCGACTACATGGCTCGTACCGGGTGTGGCTGGAGTGCAACTGCCAATGCAGCGTCGTCTTCGAGCGTCGCCCCGCTCGTAGTCCTGGGCGCCTGCGTGTCCTTTTCTTCGTGTTTGTAAAGCCTCCTTTTCGCATATTCCCACCCCTCTCTCTCTCTATCTATCTATCTATCTATCCTATCCACCTACCCCTCTCTTTCTATCTTTTGTACTTGTTCTAACACTCATTCACTCACTCACTCACTCCCTCCCTCCCTCACACAAGTTGAATAGTTTGTCTTTGTCTAACCAACTTTTCCACGTTACCACCCCAACGCTTGCGCCAACGCGAATTATCTTTCTCTCTCTTTCTATCTATCATTTTCTCTTAGTCTTCTACTTCTTCTACTACTTCTTCTTCTTCTTCTTCTTTTACTACTACTACTACTACTACTACTACTACTGTACTGTTACCCCTTCAGTTTTTTCTCCTCTTTTACCTACCCTTCTTCTACTTCCTTCTTTTCCATATCTATTGGGGGTTGATAATAGTAGTAGTAGTAGTAATGATAGTGTTAGTAGTGGTACTAGCAGTAATGGTAGTGGTAGTGGGGGTGGTGGTGGTGATGGTGGTAGGCAAGGGAAACTCCTCGCAATGACGATATGGCTCTTGCTCATCGATTTTGTACGAGTTCAGGCCAGACCAACACCTGTTACCGTCACTAGTGTCAGAGAAAGAATACGAGGAATGAGTGAGTGAGACAGGAATAGCGAAGAGGGGTTCGGGAGGGTTACGGGGAAGGAGTAACGTGGGGGTAGTAGAATGGTTGAGAAGAGGGGGTTGTGCGCCACCACCATCAGCGCCGGCCAGATAGCGACGACGAGGAAACACCGACGCCAATCGATAGCGTCGACCCCGCCGGCGTGGTGCTGCGTTCTCAACGTCGACGGGCTTATGCGATAGCGCATCGTCCCAGTACTCTTCCCTTTGCCACCCCCCCATCCCACCCTCACCCCTCACCAACCACTTCTCTTTATCTATCTTTCTCTTTCTCTCTCTCTCTCTCTCTTTATATCTATGTCTCTATCTAGTACATACGTGTGTTGCCCTTTTTTTTTCTCGCAGAGCACCTCCGATCTCTTTTCCCCGATGTCTTGAATTGCGATATTGAAATCGGAATAAATTTATGCGATCGAGTTGTCTTCAATTATCGACCATTTTCCTTCTTTTTTTTTTTATATAATCTCTTTTATCTTCTTCTTCTTCTTCTTGTAATTTTTTTTCTGTTGTTGTTGTTATTATTATTTTTTTATTTTTGATTATATTTTTATATTTTCTTTCTCCTTCTTCTTCTAATAGGACCAAGTCCTATTAGAAGGGTGGAAAGAGGTGGGCAGCAATATTCGCGAATATTAACAACGACAATTGTGCCCATAATTATGACACTGGTGGTTTAATTGTAAGTCAAAATTTAACCAACAACAAAAAAAAAAAAGAGAGTTAATCAGTTATTTCACGAAACAATTATATTAAATTAAATAAATTCACAATTTCACTTGTTTTGTTTGTCTATTGTCAAATATGAACCATTGAAATAATGTTTTTATTTTAATACAATATTATATTAGAATTTATTTAAGCTTTCAAATGTTAATTCCTTTTTAAAATATCTCGAAACAAAAGGATAATATGACTTATGGTTAGATCATTTTCATAATTATGGGATACAATTATTTGAGAGAATTACATCTCAATCCTTTTTTTAATCATTCTATTTATATTATATGTTCTATTTTTGTTCTGTTTTTTTTTCTTCTTTTAGAAAGGATACACCTTCACTTGTTTCACGATCTTTTATTATATTTTTTTATTCGAAAGATATATACTTTTTTGTTCTTTTTCCTCTTAGGTTTTGTAGAAAACGTTGTTTGGTAATCGTATCTATTCCAACGCGAAAAACTATTGTATCAATTTATCAGAGAGAGAGAGAAAGAGAAAAAGCATACCACCTACTCTACGTGTGTGGGAGGGGAAATGAAGATAAAACTTGCGTAGATTAATTCATCAATCTTACCTGCGATCCAATCAACTCAAACTTCAGTTCGATATCC